ATTTGATCTGGGGAAGGAAGCACTAGATCATCCTGGTACATTTATCAGCATGAGAGGGGGAAATGAACCTCACTGAGGTGACTGGTGATAAAGCACACAGCCTGCTAATAACTGCACCTATTCAAAACAGAAACAGTCCAGTGTCACTGCAAAGATTCACTGCCAGCCATTTAAAGAGGTGTCACTTTCACAAAAGAACAAATGATGGAATATATCATAAATTTAAAATGACAGAAATCAATTTTAAAAGGTTTGAATTTTTCACGTTTTCTTTTAGGAAAAATGATGGATCAATGCAAACCTTTCAAACCTTACACGTGTACATTGGTAGTGCATACAATTTGAGTTGCAATCATTATTTAATTGGTTTTACAGTTGAATCCATTTACAGAGGCAAAAAACAGCAGCTGTCTTTTTTTTTTCTTTGTATGCCTTGGCACTGAACTCACCCAATCTAACAAAGTAGACAGATGATGATGTAATGCGTGACAAACATGACACAAAAATGAGTGCTGGTTATTAGCTCGGATCTGATGAATTCTAACATGAATACAAAGAGATGAACATGAGATAAATGTAGTCAGATGTTTAATTGAGGGATTTTATACATTTTATTTACTATAATAGCTCTAATCTTTATCTTTATTTTTTTATTTGAGCCTTTGCAACAACTGTGTTTTTACATATAAATTGCTTTCATCTGTCTCTCTAGCAATTTTTAATAGAAATTTGACTATAGATTATCGCAAATTAAAACCGTTTCAGGCAAATCTCTCCAAAAGAAAAGCTTTTAAACGTCTGTTTACACATGTTGTGTCTAAATCTAACTTTTCTCTATCCTTCGGAAATGTAACAGTTGTTTTATTAATTAATTAGGTCTTTGATGATTATTATTTTTTTCCTTTTTGATGCTTTTCTTTGTCATTTTTTAGGACAAAATGATCAATGGAGAAACAAAGTGCTAATAAATAAAAACAAATTGCAGACTGTAGCCCTTAAAATCTATCAAGCATTGCATAGAAGAACTGAGCAGCCAAGAACATTAAATATTAAAGAAAGAACTAGAAAGAGCCTCCTGGAATTTTTCATTCCTGGTAATTAAAAAAAAAATAGATTAATTAAATGCTTAAATCCTTAATCAGCTCATACTGACATGACCAGCGGAACTGCTGCTCTTTTTTTTATTGTAGCCCTTCTGTGTCTACTCCATCACCCTTCCAATTACCAATCAAACATCCGCTATATGCGACCAGCTCCTCAAAAGGAAGTCACATGACTTGTCTTTCTTCTTCTTTTGCTTTATTTGATGTAAAGACGGGAAGGGTGGCGGTGGTGTGGGTGAGTGGAGTGGTGTGGCTGCAGGAGACACAAAGCCTGATACTGGCTATCTGCAGGCAGAGATGGGTGGGGCCTGCATGCCAAACGGTGACACGGACCAGAGGTTAATCTCACTAGGGGCCCACTTTAACCTCACTACACAAAACACACACACTCTCTCTCTCTCTCTCGAGTGCGCACATGCATGATCAAAAACCTAGAACATTTTTCAACGGATCACACGTAGGCATCGACAACCTGGTGGCTGAAAGCAGAAAGTAAGAAGTGCTCACACACACACTCACACACACACATTCGTAAGGGATTCATAAACTCATGGGGTTTCAGGAGAATAGCAACAGCAAACTGTTCAACATTTCAAACTGATTACCGACAAAGGGCAGGCAGCACCCCCAACCCACTAAACCCCTCGCCTACCCTCTTGCCTTTTTGTCTTTAAGAAATTCCTCTTTTTAAAGAATGCCCAAGGAGAGACCCCCCCCAACACACACACAGACACACACACACACATAGTAAAAAACACTCAGCCCAGGTAGAGAAGTGGTTGACACACAGAGATAATGTAATAGTGGAATCACTAAGGAGAGAGTGAAGATGCTTAATTACTCTCTCACACCTTCCGAAAGGAAGCGATCAGATAGGAGCCGTGATGAAGAGGCCTCCCAGGAAGAGGCCTCGTGCTCTGGGGGGTGGGGGGGCTCACACTAACTCTCTCTTTCACACACACACACACACAAGCGCACACCCTCCCTCCTTTACCTCCCGCTCCACCACTCGCTCGTCTTTTTCCAACCTCTCACTCATGTTTTCCTCTTGGACTACCGCCGTCCCCAGCCCAGCACCCCCACCCCTCACCCACACTTTTTTTTTTCCCACATCCCTCCTCTTTCCCTCTCTTAAGGAAACTCCTCCTCTCTTCCCCCCTTCCTCCTGTCCTCATGCTCCCTCTTCCCCTCCCTATCTTTCTTACCTCAGCTTTTATCATGCGGATAGGGTCAATGTTGTGCAAGAATAAATCGGCATCCTTTCTGATAGTTTTATTTCAACAACGACCCTTTTACCACAAACGTGTAAAATAATTCATAACCTTTGTTTTAAGTTGGTTTGATTGTGAGCTTGCCACTGATTAAAAATGACAAAATGCATCCTAAAACAATTATTATGGCTTTAAGACTTTTAAATAATTTTCTACTTAAGATATAACAGGCCAGATCTGTATTCAATATTTCCAAATCTGAACATTTCTTTTAAACCTGGAAATAACATCAATATATTCAAATAGCTCCAGGCTGCTAGCAGAGAGACAGAGAGGGTGGAACAATCAGAGAGAATGAGTGACCGATTTAATACGAATGCACGAGTGTGAATCCTTCCAAAGAAATCACGGGGTTGTTTGCATTTATTATGACAGCGTGTTTATGAGTGCACGATGTCTTCCCCTTTGTGCTAAATGACAGTCGTGTCACTGTGAGCGCGTACAGCTGCCAGAAACACTGGGACACAAATGATCGAGTGTAAACATATGATTCACTGAATGCTATAATTTAACAAAAAGCTATATTAGGAACAATTTGGTCCCCACCATCCTCCCAAAATATGAAAAAACGAATGAATGAGACAGAGCAGCTCTGCAAACATTTTCATCTATACACCGCCATCATCACAGTACCTAATGAGCCTTTCTTGCATTGTGGATCTAAATATTTTTCCTATGTAAAGCAACAGTATACCGCACAAGCCTTTTCTGCCTTATAGGCTACAAACTACTGAGACACACAGTGTTTTGTTAGACTCCTGCTCAGCTCTTAAGACTGTTTCCCAGAGCACACCTTTATTCACCCTTGATGGCCTGATCCACTCCTAAAACATCTCTGAGCAGCAGGGAAGACAGGAGTCTGGAGTGTATGGACAGATGCAGTGCTTTCAGTCGATGAAGCCACAATGTGAACGTATCAATCAGAATCTGATAACATAGTGCTGTAGTCATCCACTTTCCCGAGCTTGGGCTTGTTTCATGCAGGCGCAGTAAGAGCGCATGAAAACATCCACATACATGTAAATGTTAACCAAAAAATGTAGAAATACATGTCAGGCTATATTATTACGTGCATATGAAGATGCGCATGAAGCAAAGCTCAACATATTGTTGTTAGTCACTGAATGTTTTTACTCCAGGATTTTAATCCAGATATTTTTATAACTCTCGATTATCACGTTTATAGCCAAACTAAATGCACTAAACAACCAGCTTTACCGCTGTCAGAATTCAATGGCAGTGAACACATTTGGTCAATCAAATACTGCGGACAATTTGAAATGTACATATATCTATTTTTTTTTATTTGTATTTATTTATTTATTTTTCCATAAAAACTGAGCTGAATGCAGCATAGCTCAGAGAGGTGGAAACTACCCTGCTGGTGCAGAACACACTCAAATGCCATTCAAAAAGACATTGGATAGCAAACCATGTGAAACTGTGGTCCCACTTTCTATTTTTAGTCTGGCATGCAGCTTGAAAAAAACATACTGTAAGTGTTTGAGTTACATTATATATATATTTTTTTTTTACCTAAATAAACTAATCCCTTTATGCAACTATAATCCATATTTCCCAGTGCTACTAATTTGCCTTATAGTAATCAGTGGAGTCATCTTTTCTACAATGAAGTGAGAGAGTGTGTCAAATGAAATGGCAACAAAAATGCCTCTCTTCGTCGTCTGTCGTTCCTCGAGAATTTTAAAGGCACTTTATAGGACCGTAAAAAAGGGCGATTTAACGGAGGGAAAGGGGAGCTAAAACAAGGGAGGACTTCACTGCTCTTTGTTTTCTGTAGCAGTCAAAAACAAGGCCTCTGAAATGAACTCCATGCACAATAAATCAGCAGTACACGCGGAGGGAGTGGGAGGGGGACACACAGGCTTGCTTCACGTCACCATTCGGTATGAAAGTAAAAGGATGTTTCTATAAACTGCACATACGGTTCAAGTACATCAAGCAAACAACAGCACTGAGCAAAATCCACCTTCCCAGAACAGAGCCCAGCAGTGAGTTAAAAAAAAACACGCTCTCCGACATGTTAGCTGGCTGGATATCAAGCAAGCTCTGCTGTCCATTACAGGGCCAAGTGTGAAACTAACCGTGTCATATCCACACGACATTTCTTTCCTTTCCCTTCACAGGGAGAAGCAAAGGGAGAGCTAAACGTGTGCCTCAGAGGAAAACTTTGTGTGTGTGTGTGTGTGTGTGTGTGTGTGTGTGTGTGTGTGTGTGTGTGTGTGTGTGTGTGTGTGTGTGTGTGTGTGTGTGTGTGTGTGTCGTTTGTTTGTTTTGGTTTGGTTTTTCCTGTCCCTTAAGCATGTGGACAGCATGTTGTTACACAGTAACGTGTCGGGCAAGGCGAAACATCCGGATGATACAGTGTAACTATCGCTGTGAAGAAGAATTAAAAAGGGGCCCGAGGACAGCAAGATGGGATCTGAGGTAACAGTAGCATTTTTTTGGCAGAGGAAATAAAAAGTATTCAATCATTCGTCGCTTTTCCACGCTTTTTTTTTTTTTTTTTAAAGAAAGGAAAATCCGGATGAGGCCATGCCCACCACATCACCACGACGCAAACGCGTATTCCTCGGTGCTTGTGTGTACGTTTTCATCAACTTACTTGGTGGACGAAAACATCCAGAGGGGGGTCAACGGGGCTCCCTTCGCTGTTGGTCATTGAGATAAATCCAAATCCCATCCGGACGTTGAACCATTTGCAGAAGCCCGATCCCGACAGGACCTGAGGTCGAGTGCGGTCCTCCTCCTGCTCGGCGGACTTGGCGGGGTCTTCTCCGCCACCTTTACCCGACCCTCCTGTAGAACGAGCGGGCAGTACAAGAGGCGAGTTAGAACATTTTGTTTGTGCTCGCAGACACGCCGCTCAACACTCACCGCCCTGCGTGCATACACGTTTATATAAGTTTAATGAGCTTTGTTGCGTAAAAAAAAAGAAAAGAAATAAAGAAAACTTCTCCAAGAAGCGTGAGGGGAATCCCCTCCACTTCAAGTACAGGCTATGCGAAGTTCAGGGCCGGTAGAAATTTCCTATACTATTTTTCACATGTCACATAAGCGAAGAGGGACGCGTGGTGCTGTGAACCGATGTGCGTCAACCAGACATTCCCTCAACCAAAAAAAGGGGGGGGAAAGTTGTTACTCCATGACAGATGAATGCCTCTGATTCGTGCACAGGCATGCTCAGTGGTGTAACTTGTGGAGGGTTTTCCTCGTGCATCTACAGCCCGCTCCTGATGTGGAGTTGCATGCTATAAGGAAAAAAGGGCAGGTGTACACATGGTTCCTCGAGCTTTACTACTGGCTTGAAAAGCATATACGCTCTAACAGTGGATCTATCTTAATGCTGCCAGACGTGGTTAGATGTGGTGCTCGGCAGTGTGGCGGTTCAGGCTTTATTTTTTATTTTATTTTATTTTTTTAGGTTTGGAACAATAATCACGCTGCACCTTGCCTCCTTCTCCCTTCTCGCGCGAGCTCACGTGGAGCAAATATATGTATATATATATATATATATAACAACAACAAAAAAACTAAGAGCAGAAAATAGAAAATAATTGCAGAATAACCTTCGGCCATGTTTCCCCGCGGACCCTCTGCGCCCAAGTTGCAATAGAGAAGCTTCCTCTGCGAAAACGGGCTGCGGTAGTCACCATTAATCCGACATCCTCGATCCCATCGGTCACCAGTTTAGCTCGCATGGTACGGCGTGCTTTCTGCCTTTTGATATTTTTGTCATGTCTTTCTCTCTTCTCTTCAATCCCTTCCTCACTCACACCACCTCTGTAGCCTACTGCTCTACCCCTCTCTCTCTCTCTCGGTCGCTGCCTCTCTCACTCCCTCTCTCGCTCTCGTCTTCGCTCTCATTCGCTCTCGAGCTGGCTGTGCCCGTTCCCGTAGTGAGAACACGTGACTTTGTCAATTACATGCTTTCTTGCTTCTCATTTCTGTCCCAAGATTCAAAGAGGAAAATGGGTGTGTGTTGTGGGGGGGAAACTGGACTCGGAACCATCAACAGCACGCGCCCAATAGTTGTGTAGATCATAAAACAACCCACGTCCACTGTGGGAAGCTGCAAGCTGTAACGTGTGCTATATGATATGCTATGCGCTGCAGTGCACTGCTTGCAATGTGTTTTGTTGAGGTCCTGTATCAAAAGGGGTTGGTGTAGCTACATAAGGCTATTATGCACTGAGATTAGATTAGATGATTGGATGGGATTAAATTACATTTTAATGAACTCTGCGGAATAATAGGGTGGCCATGACAACAGCAAAAACACACACAAAAAAACAAGGAAATAATGAATCAACCAATTACAATCAAAAGCAAATGATGAAGTTAGGCCCCTAATGGGTGTAGCTGATTAACCTACAGATTTGCAGGCTTGTTTTCATAGATCTTCCCATCATCACGTGGAAGTACAGCAGTGTGTCCTGTGTGGCTTTTGTTTGTTTTTTTACTTTGAGTATTTTGACTCATAAAAATTAAGTAAATTCAAAGAAAATCGTACATGTTTAAAATATGTTAGTCTACTGTTGGTTTGTTTAGACCTCCACGGGGTGACAAAAATAGTGTTAAATGGGTGAAAATTCACACATAAAGCATCACTTAACAAAGAAAATTCATCAAAAAAATGTTTCTTAATTTATTTTATTTTACTGCTTGTTTTTTGTCGATTTCTATTACTGTTTGCTTGTTTGAATCTCTTCTCCAGACCCTACTATTACCAAAGCCAAACTCTAAAAGATTTTCAAGACAGGGTTAACTTTTCTACATTTTATACAAAGTAAACACAGCACCATTAAAATACGTAAGCTTATTACAGCCTTTGTTTGCATTGCACAGCTCACTTCAGACTTTCACACCAGTGTATATTCAAAAGGGTGAAATGCAGCTGTGGCTTTAACAGAAATAACATCCAGCTATGCTAAGAAACCTAAACCTGTTTTGCTGGAAACTAGAACTTGTGAATTTTACAAAACAGTGCAAATGATCATTTCCCACTTTCATGCATGGACATGTGTTTGTGCTCATGCTCCTAACTCACAACCAGTTACCTCCCAGTATCATAGTGGGCACCAGAGGAGAGCTGAACTCACAGCTTTGGAATGTGACTGGAAAACTGACAGAAAGCAAAGCAGATATTTGTAAGTCTTGAGCCTCGTTTGTCATGAGGATACGTTCCTTACCAAGATTAGTTCTGTCTGTTTCTTTTTCTTTTTGAGCGGGGGAGGGTCATTTCTTTTTGTTTTGTTTTTTGTTTATTTTTTTTTGGGGGGGGGGGGGGGGGGGGTTAGAAATGCTTTTAGAAATACTATGAAGCTGTCAGTAAAGTTTGAAGCTGAAATTGTTAAGTCTTGTTTTTCCTTCTTCTTCTTACAAAATAACTTAGTTTGAGTCTTAAAGTTCCACTTTTATTCAAACTTAAAGAGATTTTTGTGGCATTACTAAGCTTCCTTAAAGAGAACTTTAACACAGGTGGCTTGTATCAATTCAATATGCTTTTTTAAAATGGTACTGTTAAAACACAGTATGTTTAAAACCACAAAACAAACACAAAAGCTGGATTAAATCAAGTTTGAGCACATTTAAATTCCACTACACGTCTTACTTCCTATTCTGGACATGGTTTACGTCCAACAGCATAGATCACTTAAGAGAAGAATAGCCCACGGAGCAGATCAACAACAAGAACAAGCCCAATGAGAAACTTTCCATCTTATCTCACTTCTGCCTTGGTGGGACGTTTCTCGAGGGGTTATTCGCGAGTATGAGGAAAGAGGAAAAACACGTTGGAGGAATGAAACAACAACAAGCCTGTCTCCACCCACCGACGCTCAAGAGCCCACCCTCCGGAATTCGCAAGCTTTGCCCCTACCCCCAATCCGTCCAACCCAGCCCCCGCGCACAAGGCCTGTTTTTGAAGATGCTTGTAGTGGAGGCCTCCTCAGCAGCCATAGAATTACTGTGTGGGTCACAGGATTGGATACCACTGTCAGATGTTATCCACTCATTCATATCCTGGCAGGACCTTTCTGATTAGGACAAGTCAGCGGAAAATACCGCAGTGCAGCTTACCGAAGTGTGCAAAAGAATGACAAGGAATGATTTAGATATGGGAGGCTCTGGTGTGCCTGTCGGTCAAAAGAGGGAACTGAAAGAGCAAAATGGTTGTTAGTGAAGATTTTATGGTGTGCTTTAAACCTGTGAAAAACAAATTGATTCATGAAATGCTTGTGAAACAGCCTTAACGATTGTAATGGTACAGAGGCACAGAAAAACCCGTGAAAGTAAAGCTTTGCAGATGTTCTAAGTAGTTTGTTTTCATAAACGACACAAACTAGAATTCTTCACATATAGTTGGTTTTCAACTGGTTTTAAACCCATGTCCATCTCTTTTATACTTTTCTTTATGCAGATTTATGATTTATGAAAATTCAGATTTTTCTCAGTTTGATCGGTTGCCTTCAAGCTTCAGCAGAGGAAAGTTTTCAACATTTTGTTTTTTCTCAACGTCCTTCTGATGGAGAAGTTAGAAGGCAGCTTCTCATTTGACAGCGTGACAAAACAAAACAAACAACAACAACAAAAAACCTTAAAGTTCCTACATCTGAAAAAGTGACATGGCCCAACTTCAAACTTTGTTTCTTTGCATTAGATGTTTGTTTTATAGCTGCCACAGATCCACAGTCACGCCTTTTGTTTGCACTTATGCAACAAGATAAGACTGTTTTGAAACCTCTTTTACTTTCAAACCTTTTCATTATATTTGTGGCGATAAAAAAAGAGAAGAACACTTTTCAACTGAGACTTTGCAAAGACATCTACAAACTGACGTATGTTTTTCTTTTCTTTTTTGAAGATTGTTTTTAAGCCGAACATAAAACTTGTAACAATCTCTGCACTAGTTTTGTCATGCTACAGAATAAGATACATTTTTCACACTCATTTACATTTATATAAGGATCTGTACTTTTTCCACTTCTATTCATGAAGATGAGCACTGAAAATATTTCACATATTAAGTTCTACAAAAGGATCTTCATGTCACGTCTGTAATATTGCTAGGAAATGATCTGTTTCTGAAATGAGCCGAGCAGCTCCTTGTTTGCAGACGACCTTCGTTTTAAAACCAACATCACTGTTTGTGGGTTTTTTTTAGTTTAATATCATTTCTTATGATATGATCTAATTTTAGTACCTCCCTACATTTATTATTTGTTTGAATGCAAAGCAGGAGCAACACTTTAACCCATTTGTATGTCTTTTTACTCTCTCTATTTCCATAGCTTTTTCCATACATGCTGTATCTTTATATCGATCTAATCCCCACCTGTTCTGTGGAGCGCTTTGTTGAACTGCCCGATTTTTAAGATGTGTGAGTTGCTGAATGGTTTTTATTCTTTCATCACAACTAGCGATGAGAGGGGTGATGTAAAAATTTGCCTCATATAAAAATAAGCTGTTTTGGAGAAGTGTATCTAAGGTTTTTGTTCCAATTTGAATGTCACAATAGTCTCTGTGAGACAATGCAACATCATACAAATGAGGCTTCATTTATTTTCAGTACAGTCCAATTCAATATGGTACAATTTAATTATGATGTTCAGCACTACGAGTACAAATTTATCATGAGAGCAGAAAAAAAATGGCATAATATGAATCTCTGTAAGGCCTGCAATAATTTCAGGTGTAGAATTGAGAAGCTGTGTCTTGGGTTTGTTTTATTTGGCTTATTGATAAGATTTGCATAGATATATTTAATAAAACAAATGTAATATTTTTAATGGATTAGGCTTGTTTGATTTATTGTTCTTGTTGCTTTATTTTCTCAGTTAATAGCTCTAATCAGTGGAAAGAAATGTGTGCATCCAAGCTGCAAACTATAGGATCTTAAGAGCATTTTGTTTTCTTTTTTAAATAAAGAGAGATTTTTTTTCATTTAATTGTGTTTTGGGGGTTTAGTGAAAACCAAGTGGAAGTCACATACCAGTACATATTCTGTTTAAATGCATCTTTTATAAGCCATCTTTTAAAACCTGTTCAAATGTTAATTCATCTGTATTGCTCTTTATTTTTAAGCCTGCAAGGAAAGATCAGTGCAGTGGCTCATTTAGATCTTCAGTTGTCTTAGATGAACTATATATTTATGAGCACATGCAGATTCCTGAGTTGTTTGAATACCAACTTTCTGTGCAGACTTTGAACTCCCTCTCCCCAGCTAACCTCACCCAACCCCCACTCTTCACCAAGTAGGGTCCCAGAGGAAACTTGCATTTTACCATGCATTGCTGTCAATGCAGTTCAAAGGGTTCATTGAGTCCCTCTCTCTTTTCTCTTTTTCTTTTTATGTGAGGAGGGGGTTGTTTTTTGTCGTTTACCTCATGCATTCCAGCTACCAATCCTTCACTTTTCTCTATCGTTTACAAGGATGGATAAACAGTGTTGGCAGAGCGGGGCCATCTCCCCTCAGGGTTATTTTTAGGACCAGAAGACTATATGCTTATGGAGTGTTTTAAGAGAAGAAGAAAAAACACGCCAAGAAATGACTTTTTTTTTTCTAATTTTTTCATCTAGTTTCAAATTCGAAGCACAGCTCACTTTAATTTCCATCCCTGGATGTTGGTGACTCTCTGCAGACAAAGAAGAATTGATATTTTTTTTCTCATCCATTCATCGAATATTTTCCTCTGTTTTCTTCACAGATTTCGTTAACAAATATTTAGACTCAACGAAAAAAAACATTCACACAGCACAGAAAAGCACACGCGTATTGTGTGG